GGAAGGGGGGGGGGGTGCAACTATTTAGTCTATTTCCGACGTTGTTTCACACAATAACATTCTTTTCCATTAAATTTTTCCTTTATTCATAGTTCAGGGGCTTTCAAAACATAATCTTTGGTATGCAGATCGATTTTTCTTCTTGATGGCTAGGCAGTTATCCGTTAACAGTGGTCTGAACAATTGGTTTTCAAAAAAAAAATTTCTTGAAAGTTTCGTTTGCAGAGAGGGCAGGGTCAACGACGCGCAGTGGTGATTATTTATTTAATTTAGTTAAAACCGGTTACTGTTTTACATAAATCATATGTAAGATGCTTGGAAAAAAATATTTTAAGAGATTTTTTACTTTTCTAAGAAACTATTCTCAAGTATCCCTACATTTGTAATGTCAGCTGTGTTGAGTACACATCTGTAAACATTATGTCCATGCTCCAGTTTAACGATAGCTAAAACACTATTTTAGAAATTAACACACAGACTTCTCTGCTCTAAATGATAAGTAAGAGGGTACCGTTGTAAATCGAGCATTCCAGCTTTAAATGGAGGCCCAGAGTGTAACTTGAAAATAGAGCCCATTTAGGCGCGCGAAAATTAAAACATTGTTTGATTTTACAAACTCCTATTTTGCTAAAACAAAAATCATCTGTATTTCTATGAATCGTAATTTTTTTAAATTAATTGGCATGTTCTATTCTTTTAAGAAAAATGTTTTGTTATCAAATAATGTTAATTTCGTATTTACTACCCTTAGATAACACTGTTATGTGAAGGTCATACGTTAAGACAGATAAACGAAATAAAGTATATCTTTAGAATATCTCTAGAATATTGGCACTTTAAAGTTTTAAGATAAATTCCTTTTCTGCCTTTGGACTACAGGAGGTTTATGAAGTAGGGTGACGAGCAGACGGTTAAACTGACTGCTCCTCGGGCCCAGGAATCTGTGTTCAGAAAGAATACAGATTTAAAATAATCAGAGTTCTTTATTCAGAGAAGATCAAGCATTATAGACTATTTTGAATGTTTTATAATAGAAGAGTAAAAATTTAACGTTGCGTCTGAAAGATTATGTAAGCGACTAAAAACATATAATTCAGCTTTAAACGGACAGGAAATAAAGACTTAATTTAAAGTGACCCGCCATTGAGAGAATGCCATGTACAACTCACAACGCTAAAATTAAAAATCTTTGTCTTACCAAGAAAAAATGAGAACCCCTTATTTTAAAAAAATAATTTAGTTATTTTTGATTTAAATGTGACTAGCGGATACAGAAAAGTTCACAAATGTAAAGTTACTTGCAATATTCTTGGATTCTTTATCATACTCTATCCTTTCCTTCTGGAGCCCTTAAACCTAAAACTCCTGAAAAAGAAATATAAGAAACTGTTAACGTAATTATCAGTCGCCTGTTATATAAAAAGGTCCAAACGATTTACAATGTTATCATTAAAACCTCTAAACCTGATAAACGAAGGTTATAAAGATACAGGGTTTGGGTTACTTGAGACTGTAAGTTTGTAGTTGCAGGCAACCATGAATGCAAGGAAACTGGCAGTATAAATTCCGTTCAGTCGTCTCTGAGATCTCATACTGTGTGGGTAACACTGTATCTGAGTGTAAACGGAAAAAAAGATTACTGTTGTAAAGTAATTGAGTCTTTGCCACAAACTCTGATTTTCTAATTAATATATCTTTGGAACCAAATGTTGCAGACCTTAGATTTTTCAAACTATGAATTCTGTTAGAGCAAATAATCTGAGTTTGAAATATCAAAGGTTTACAACATCGAGTTCTAAAGATATTGAGGTTTAAATATTTGATTTTATTCCAAAGACTCAATTCCTTTGTATTACACTTCCTTATATCACAGGGCCAATTAAGATTGCATTATTAACACTTTTGAAACAAAAATGAAATGGATTTACAAACAAAAAACTTGCTTTCATTTAATTCATCGTAAACTTTTGGGTCTCTTCGATTAAAGGGTTATCGCGAATGAAAACTTTCTCAAAAATTGCATATTGCGCAAGCAATTCATACCCTGTTCCATAGAAAAATTCTCCTGTTTTCTCATGCATATTTAACATGTTTTGTGGTTTTACCTTTTCACAGTTTCTTGATCCTCTATTTCATCTTCTTTAGGCATTTTTTGGTGAACTTTATCCATATTACATTCTACCGTAGCCGCCTTCAAACCTTCAATCCAAACCAACAAACCTTAAACAAAAATATCAAATTAATTTCACATGACAAATCAAATGCACGCAGATTTAAAAGTTTGGTCCCTGTCCCATCAAGCACTGACTTTCGATCACGATTTGACAAATGAAACAAATGAAAGTTTTATTTAAATGCAAGGATTAAGAGACAAACAAGATTATTAAATTATAGTAAATAAATTATCTGAATTTTAGATTTAAAGCAGACAAAAAAATCAGCTTGATAATCATGACGGTTCATTTTTTAAATACAGCCGAGCCGACTGGGTTCAATTTTGTTTTTGAAACCAAGCTATTTAATAAATCAATTTTCTTTTGTAAATAACATTGACGGAGACATATGCAATTTTAAGAAGGAAATTTTATCATAAACAGCTATAGTGTAAATTGTCATAAACCTGTTCTTGGTTCCCGTGGCAAAATTAGGGGCAAATTGGATAAGTTATGATTGGACTTACCAATAAACAGACAGACCAATATTACTTTTATATATATTGTAAAAACATTCGTAATATTGTATGTAAGTTCGCAAAAAAAATATTGAGAAAATCCACGAAATATCATAATTGTTTTTATAGGTGTACATAGGGAACAGAATCTCCTAGATTCATACACGCATAAAAACATCAGGCATTGATCTCTCGATTCCATCTTATGTACTGCAAGGGAAAACTAATTAATAGATCAAGCATAGATTCTCAAATAAAAATGTTCACATTAAAAATCCCGATCAAGAGTTTAAGATTAACAATATCCCCACAAAAATTCCGATTTTTGATACAATAGGAAAATAAAATGAAACTTTTACCGAACAGAAGAAGAATAAGTTTAGCGGAAGATTTCATTTCTTCTGGTAGTTTTCTATAATACTTTATCCTTTTATATAGTTACATGATTTGACACCGGGATTCATGAAGATTTATTCATAAAGTCAGAAACTTTTAAACTAATTTGATTAAATATTGCAAATAATGTGCAATCAAACAGTTTGCAGAAAATATGCAACCCGGATCTGAGCACTCATTAGAGATATTTTTCACGGATCTCCTTAATTTGATATTGTTATTTAATGAGAAATCCGATTTAAAATACTGCTCAAAATAGGAAAAATAAGGTAAATAAATTAATTAAAAAAATATTTTATTATTATATTTTAGCAAGAGCAGATCTTAAAAACAAAAACTGTAATGACCCCTCTGGCGAAAAAAAAAGTTTGCAAAAAATAAATAATTATTAAATTTAAATTTCCAATCCATTCCAAGAAGATCAAATTTTAAACTCGTTGTTTTTTATTTAGAATTAAAAATTGTATGATTCGCCAAAAAAAGCCTATTAAACTGAAACATTAAAGAATTTGTTTATTCGTCCAGATTGTTTTGACACCAAACGTCATCATTATTTAATAGTTAAAAATATGTTTAACCCTAAAAGGCCGGAAACTGATTTCTCATTCAGTTATTACACCTCCATTTTTTAAATTTTTAAATTTTTAAATTGTGATCACAAAACATTTTACAGAAATATAAATATTTTTGTACGTTTTTGATTAGGTTGAGAACTGTAAACCTGACGCTGTTAAAAGGCTTTGATGTTGTAAAGAAATGAAAAAATAGAAAAAGAATAAACATTTTCAACATATTTTTGCAATTTGTTTAAATTCCCGCTTTGACAATAATTTAACAAAAGAGGTTCTAAAATTTTCCAAAGGAAATGAGTCTTTGCCGCAAACAGAATTTTTCTCATCCCAATATCTTTGTAACCTGATGGTGTAAAAANAGAGTGCTAAGATTGACAAGTACAAAGATCTAAGAGTGCTAAGATTGACAAGTACAAAGATCTAAGAGTGCTAAGATTGACAAGTACAAAGATCTAAGAGTGCTAAGATTGACAAGTACAAAGATCTAAGAGTGCTAAGATTGACAAGTACAAAGATCTAAGAGTGCTAAGATTGACAAGTACAAAGATCTAAGAGTGCTAAGATTGACAAGTACAAAGATCTAAGAGTGCTAAGATTGACAAGTACAAAGATCTTGGAGAGTACTAAGATTGGCAAGTACAAAGATCTAAGAGTGCTAAGATTGGGGAGTATTGATGATAAGGCCCAGAACGTATTCAACTCAGATAGAAAATAAGTTTTATTATCGTACAGAATTTCTTCAAATACGGGTACGGATTGTTTTATTCCGTATAATCTGAAAAATATGCATATTTAAACTAGAAAATAAAAAGAAACATTTTAGCATAAAACCAAGCCATTTGCTTTAAACTATGAGATAAAATGTGCAAATTTAAAAGGTAACTATTGTACGACTATAATTAGAAAACCACTCCATTGGCTATAGAGCAATATAGGGTGCATTGTGTACATCGCGATATGTTCCATGTATATAACACTGTACACTTGTATACATATAGTGTTTTTTATGGCGGATTTTATGGAATTTATAAATGTTATGCTTTTTTCTTCGTAAAAAAAATATTAATACATTTTACAGATTTTAACCCAAATTATCCATATCTTTACTAATATTTAATCAATTACAACCAACCACCCCCAAGAAATACGATTAATTACTCTGTATGTGTGTACACTGTACACTGTACAGTGTACAGTGTTGTACAGTGTACAGTGTGGTTAGTTGTGTACATCTGAAAAGATTATGAGATAAGCCAACTCTTCATTTTCTTTTCTCTATGGTAAAAAAGGACAGAAATGTCTCGAAAGGGTTTATAATTAGAAAATAACATAAGAAATAAAATAATTTAAAATCCACAGTTTTTATTATAGAAAAACAAACAACGTCCTTATCTTTAAATTTAACTAGAAATATTTTTAACAAACAGTTTTTTTTCAGATTTAAGTCAGACGCTGAGATAACGGGAAGAAGAGAAAATAATGTTACATCTAATTAAACCTAAACCTATTTTTCATCCACAACCAGCACAGCATTTCAAATCAAAATGGCAAAAAGGTAACTTTACGTAGTTTCAAGAGACCATCCATTTAGCTAGAACTCCATGAACAGTGGTAAAGCTATAGTTCTCAAGTGTTCATGTCGCTTTCAAAACAATCGTTCTTTAAAAGGATCGTTTTTTAAAACTAACAGTTCACACGCTTCAGCTCTACACACAAAAGTTCGTTTGTTTTGAAAAATAAAAAAATAAATCCTACGGATGAAACCTCAGAGCCGTTTCCGATTTGAAGACTAATCCTTTTAATTTTAGGAGATAAAATCACAGTTTGGTATATTGTTTATCAGTGTTTATCATGTATCTTCCTACTTAGCAGTGTTATCTATACTTGGACTCTACAGGTAGTAGATAGATAGATAGATAGATAGATAGATAGATAGATAGATAGATAGATAGANTTTCAGATTTCATAAAAAATATATATTGCCAATTCTTTATTCATTATTTAGTTTTGAAACCGATAAAATTCGTACTTTGTTTTAATATCAGCATTTTTGGTTTTATAAATTCATTAAAAATAATATCAAACTTTTTTCTCACACTTTTCCTTAATTTTGTTACTTTTTTACTTAATATTTGTATTTACTATTTTAGAAAGATAAACCAGCAGAGTCAAGATGGAAGTACATAATTTATCTGACGCATTGGGGTATTGTGACACTAAATGCAACTGTACTGCTAGAAACTGTACTAACTCTTGTTGTGTACTGCAAGCAGAGAACGTAAGAATAATATAAATATCCGGCTTTAAACCTGATAAGGGATTCTACACTTTAGTAAAGGCCTGGAAAAGGTCTATATTCATAGAGAATAGAATATATAGAGAGGAATTTACTGGAAAAAAGTGTAAAACGGCCATTTTGTTGTACTGTTTCCATACTGCAGGTGTACTTCACATATTTATGCTATATAACCTGTTGGGCCCTGGAATATCATTTTATAGAAAATCTGAAATTATTTAAAAAATCGGTGATGGTGATGGACCAAACCTCTGTAGAGTAAAAAAGTAGATGTTAGTTCCACATTTATTTAAAATATATTTCGGTCTGAGTTGACCCCCGTTAGTTCTTGAGATTGTTTCTTCACAAAGATTAAAATTATTGTTAAAAGAAAACCAAATTATGAAATAGGCTGGTTTCATAATTGACCAATGATCATTGCGCATATTTGGGTGGGCAAGCAATTTTGAAAATTTCGCGAAATGATTCTAACGCAATTTTTGCACACTCGAAATTTTTTGCGCTATAATAAAAAATAAATGTTTTTTTTAAATTTTATATACTTCAACAAATATGAAGTGGGTTGTGGATAAAGCAAGTTTAATAATTGATATACCTGAGATTTGGTGGGGATAAAAGTTTTACGTACAAATTAATTTTAACACGAATTTCACATTTTCACCAGTTTGCAGAGTTGTTGAGCAAATTAAATTATTAAGTCAAGAGATTTCCTGGTGATACATAAATAAAAAATATTCATATAGAGCTTTTTATAGTCTTTAACTTTCATAGGGAATTTGGAATCACATGAACACACAACCTTGGTTTCAAAAAATGAAAGGGGGTATATATGCTTACGGCAAAAACTTAAAACGACGTTTTTTCCGCTAGGTGCCTCTGCCACGTGTAATCATTCAAAGCATCGAGAGCAGAGACACCTGGCGGCCAACTATTTCGGCGTTTTAAGTGCATTGTATCCAAAATAAATAAAAAATGTTATGAAATATTAACTATATACGAATGCGTCGAAAAATAATCGATGACTGAAGGTTGTAAGATCTGAATGATTTATTTGAAATTAAATGGATTTCTTTACGATCCGAGCTTTAATTCTTCATTTAACTCTTCATCAGACTAAAGGCCGTAAAATCTGAATAATTTGTTTGAAATTAAATAATTTTTTTTTACGATCCGAGCTTTAATTCTTCATTTAACTCTTCATCAGACTAAAGACCGTAATATATGAATGTTTGTTTGAAACTAAATTGATTTTTTACATTTCGAGTCGTATTTTGCAACTTTCTGAATTTGTATAGACGCTACGTTCTTCAGTAAAAGTCGTTTTTTTTTACAATTTTCTCCTTATAGACGCAACAGAAAGATTAGTAGCGATCGAAAGCGCTTATTTTTCGCCGCAAGCCTATACCCCCTTCAATTTTCGCGAACACTTCTTTAAGTGCACTTATTTAAATACAATTTGATTAATTTGATGCAGATATTTTGAAAGAACTTAAATGCATATTGCAGTATTTAAGATAGTCGCAAATATTAATCATCTTTGGCATATTTTCACAAGTTTAAATGTTTAAAGTAAGAAACTTAAGTTGAGTTTTTATTTATCAATTAAATGGTATGTGCACAAGATTGTTTAGTCAAAAAAAAAATTGAAAATTAGTAAGCAATAAATACAATTTGATTAATTTGATGCAGATATTTTGAAAGAACTTAAATGCATATTGCAGTATTTAAGATAGTCGCAAATATTAATCATCTTTGGCATATTTTCACAAGTTTAAATGTTTAAAGTAAGAAACTTAAGTTGAGTTTTTATTTATCAATTAAGTGGTATGTGCACGAGATTGTTTATCCAAAAAAAGTTTGAAAATTAGTATTTTGAATACTGTTGTTGCAGAAAATGCGTTGGGTCAACTGCATACTTGGTACACTAGACGTGCTAATGTATAAAGACTAGATTAGAATCCTTGTAATGGTTCAGTACGAGATTTATAGTAAACAATTAATAACAAATGATAAAATAATAATTGAATTACATTCTTAAGTATCTATAAGCTGTTCTTTTCAGTTCTGGAAAAGTGTCCAGTGGATTGGACCGTGCTCTTCACATTAGCTGGGGTATGTCACACGCTACATACAGCTGTGCAGTCTTTATAACCGGTTTATACTGGACATTACTGTACACGGGGGAGGATACTACATACACTAATATTTACCAACATGCATTGCAGGTAGCAAATAAGCTTGGAGTAAAATTTACTCCAGTGTACAAATTGTAGAAAATAGTTAAATTACATTATTACATAATTTTGTTAAAGAAAGAGTCTATAGCATTTCATTCCCTCTGCTTTAAGATTCAATTCCTCTCACCTTTCTGTACAAATTACTACATCAGAAATATATCTGAAAGAATAAAAAATGATAAATGAGGATGGCCTCTGTAAACAAATCTTAAAAAAATAAAATATAAGGAAGTTATGCTATTTTTTTCTATTTATATACTTTGCTTGTTAAATTTAAATGTTCTTGAGAAAAATTAAAATGTTTTGAATTTCTATTATATTGTATTGGTTTTTCCATAATTGTGCGCAAAATTAAAACTCGAGGAGCTACGAGGTCTCAAAGTATTACAAGTCATATCGCATAAGTTTTACCTTCCCCTTTGTAAAAATTTTAGTCGATCAGTTGAAAAAAGGGGGTTTCCTATTCTATTTCAGTTTAAATGGAGCCTCAACCCCATCAAGGGCCGTGTTTTTTCTTTTGTCAAATAACAAGAAGACCTTCCTATTGTGAATAAAATCTTAGATTTTTATAAAAAAAAGTAAATATGTTTAGGGTGTGTATGCTGTCGTTGATCAACTAGTCTCTGCAAGACCGTGGGAGGGCGGACACTGGTGGGTGTGTCCTATTTTGCCGATAGTATATGTTATTTTTAACGTTATTTTCTGGGCAGCAGGAGGAACAAATGATGTAAGAAACAATTTTAAAATAAGTTATATAAAGTTTAAAAGATACGACAAAAGAACATATATTTATATGTTAATTTTAGGCTATACATTAATTTATGACCTAAAGTTCAATAACAGTTTTGGGGATTCTAGATTTTATTAGATGAAAAAAATGACAAATTTCTCAATTTAAAGTTTAAGGTTTGAAAAGATAAAACGTTTGAGCGTTCTTGTGTAAGCGTTTTTAAGACACGGAGAAAAAACAAAAATATTTCCACTTTCCCCCCGCCGCGCCATCCAATTTTTAATAATATATTTTCCCAGATATTCTTGCTTTATCTTTTTAAACATTAAAATTCCTTTTTTGTCACAAACTTAAATTTTCCAATCCCTAAATCTTTTCAACCTGACGCCTGACGGTAGAAACCTTTTATATTTTTAATTAAGATTATTTGGTCCATCAGAATTCATAGTTTGAAATAAAGAAGGTCTTTAGACATTGGGTTGCTAGGATATAGGGAATAGAAAATCAGAGTTTGTTGTAAAGAATTTAAAAAAATAAGTTTAAAGATACACGAGTCTAAAACTAAAGAACGAAAAGTTTTGACTTAAATTTTAAGTTCATGGTTAAATGCCACTTCTGACTTAATTTAAACCTGAACTTTAACCATGAGGTTAAATATTTAACCCTGTAGTTAAATATTTAACTCGCCGAAATCGACGAGTTAAAATTTAAACAGAGGTTTAGATTATCTTGACATCCTGCATTTTCCCTATTTGTCTATCATTCAATCATCATTCAGCTGCAGCTGAGAAAGGGGCATTCAACTTTACGATACATTTAAAAGTGAAAACCTTGTTAAAGAAATTTCACGTTTTAGATAAATTAATTTTTGGATGTAAACCCAAAAAACGGTTGTATGTTTTGTTTTCGGTTACGTAAGAACAGCTGATTAGCGATGATTATGTAATATTCTCCGTAAATCCTTTTCTCTGATTGGTTCAGATTTTCCCGGGAAATTCAAATTTAAAATTGAGAAAGTTTAATATTTAAGTAGCTATTCATTATTTTACAGAACTTTTAACCTCGAACTTAAAATTCGCTCATTCTTTAGTTTTAGACTATGGAAACTCAAAAGTATTCATACTTTAGTAATTAAGGGACAAACTGATTTTTAGTCATTTTAATAATTAATTAACTTTACTATTATTGTTTTCTTCATTTAGTCAAACTATTTTTAATTCTTTTCCATTTGATTAAAACTTTATTTTTTAGAAAGGAGAAGATTTTGTGTACCCTGTTCTGAACTGGACAGAGAACCCTGGGACCTCTGCTGGGTTAATATTTGGTGCTCTTCTTGTACTTATATGTAAGGATATTATGAAATATATAAGGGTGACTTACAAAGACTTGAGACTTCAGAGACGAATGTACATGATCAATTTAGCCATATTTTTTACACTCATGGATCCCTGAAGCTGAAATCTTGTTTCATCATTGCCCAAAAAGTATTTCCAATTCAGGACTATTTTGAAGACCCTTAATGAACTTTTTAATACTTTTACAAAAAGAGTTGTATATTACTCTCAATAAATGTCTCACCTTTTTAGCGTAACGCTGTATATAGCCTGCGTTTATTAAGTGTTTTATAGAATTACTTGGAAATGCTTAACCATTTTCGATAATTTAGGTACTAACTACATTTTTTTTAGGTATTCAGTACATTTTTTTTAGGTATTCAGTACATTTTCTTTAGGTATTCATTACAATTTGTTTAGTTATTCATTACATTTTGTTAAGGTATTAATTACATTTTATTTAGGTATTCACTTTATTTTGTTTAGGTATTCACTACATTTTATTTAGGTATTAACTACATTTTGTTTAATTTTTTACTACATTTTCTTTAGGTATTTACTACATTTTATTTAGGTATTCAGTACATTTTTTTGATATTCACTACATTTTGTTTAGGTATTCACTACATTCTGGTTGGCCTGACCCACCTTCGAGACAAAGTTCACCAACAAATGTTTCCTCAACAACATTTAGTCTAATATAGTTTGAAACATTGCATAATTATGACACAGCAGTATAAAAAAGTACTTTAGAGCAAAAATTTGTTTAACATAAATCTACGCGCACGTGCGATATGTTTTTCTACAATATGTTTTGATTTGTTAACCATGCATTTTGTTAAATTAACATTTATTCAAGACAATTAAAGTTCCTATAAGTTCCTCTGACCGGCAGAGTTGATAACGGTGACCACTAGAATATTTGAGATCTTGATTTCGCAAATATTTTTTATACCTTTTTATAACCTTTATCTAATAAAATATGGAACAAAACTTATGAAAAATAAAAATAAATATATTATTTAGGGTTATTTGTTTTGGCACAGTGAAACCCTCAATAACGAATACATCGGAAGAATTTATCAAATGTCGTCTTGACAATTTTTCAATGAGTTTATACTATATTTGGTAAATTTCAATATTTGCGAAAATAAATAAAAAGCCCATGAATATGCGGGAACAGTTTTAAAGAGTTCCATATAATCATTTAATTAAAAAAACTAAATATCTGCAACATTCTATTATCAGAAAGTGAAGAATACGACATTTTATGAATTCTTTCGATGTATTCGTTATTAAGGGTTTCACTGTACATTTTTTACCTTTTCGTCATTTATTCTTGTAAAATTTATTTTTCTTATAGTTAACACATATACTTTACAACCAATTTCTTAATTATTGTTAAAGTTATTACTGTTAATATTGTTATTATCATAGTTTTAGAAAAATAAAATAAAGTGAGGATTTAGGAGAGTGGAAGTGAGAACTGTGAAGAGTAGAAGTGAGGATTGATGAGAGTAGAAGTGAGGATTGATGAGAGTAGAAGTTAGAACTGTGAAGAGTATAAGTGAGGATTGAGGATAATACGTAACGTATAAAGATTTAGGCAGTAGAAGAGGAGGATTAAAGGAGTAGAAGTTAGGACTGTGAAGAGTAGAAGTGAGTATTGAGAGGGGTAGAATTGAGAATTGAGAGGAGTATAAGTGAGGATTGAGGATAATACGTAAAGTATAAAGATTTATGCAGTAGAAGAGGAGGATTAAAGTAGTAGAAGTTAGAACTGTGAAGAGTAGAAGTGAGAATTGAGAGGAGTATAAATGAGGATTGAGGATAATACGTAAAATATAAAGATTTCAGCAGTAGAAGGGGAGGATTAAAGGAGTAGACGTGAGAACTGTGAAGAGTAGAAGTGAGGATTGAGGAGAGTACGTAAAATATAACGATACGTAAAATATAACGAAGGCAGTAAAAAAGTAGGATTAAAAGAACTGAAGTTAGAACTGGGAAGATTAGAAGAGGAGAATTAAATGAGTAGAAGTGAGGATTAATGAGAGCAGAATTTAGAGGAGTAGAAGTAATGGATTAATGAGAATACTTAAAAGTATAAAGATTTAGGCAGTAGAAGAGGAGGATTAAAGGAGTAGAAGTGAGGATTGAGAGGAGCAGAAGTGAGTATTGTGGAGAGTTGGAAGTGACAATTGAAGGATAAGAAGTAAGAATAAGGTAGTAGAAGTACGAGACTATAATTGCTGGATTAGAAAAAGGATTTATGGGAGTAAAATATATGGGGAGTGAGAGAGCATCAGTAGAAGTGAGGATTGAGGGGAGTAGACGTAAGACTTAATTCAGAAGAAGTGAGGATTTGTGGAGTAGAAGTGAGGACTCTGAAGGGAGTGGAAGAATTAATGGATTAAAAATTGGTGCATGAATATTGAATAGAAGCAATAATGAAAAGATGCAATATAGTAGATTTGGGAATAAGATAAAAACAGCATTACCTAATTTTGCAGTTAATTGGCTTTTAGGGCGCCTCACGCCCATCTTCTATTTCAATTGTGAACATTTTCTATTTGTTTTTTTTGTGAAACAAAAACAAATAGAAAATTTTGCGGATATTATAAAAAAGTCGTGGATTTTCAAAATTTTCAAAATTCTAAAAAATCAAGTTTTGTTAGAAGCAAATTTTTGAAAATTGGATCATTCGAAAACTTTCCCTGGGGTCAAGTGAGGTCCCACAAAAATTTGGGCTCGATCGGTTCAGCCGTTTTGACTTTTATTGATACAAACAAGCAGACACCCAAACAGACAAGCAGCGTATAAATATAGATTAGAACATAGCTGAAATAAATTTAGTTTAGACACGTATCTGGATTGATACACACTAAAATATTATTGTAGAACATTAAGTTCTAGGGCGAGTTGTATCTAAACGATAAATACTAAGAAAACAGAGAGTGTTTCTATCTGGACTGATACAGACTTATAAGAACTATTGGAGTAAAGCATTTGTTACAGGAGAGTATATAAAGTCAGTAGAAGCTATAGGAGGAGAAAGCTAGACTTTGCTTTATTTTTAATAAAAAACACGCTTAAATCTAAGATATATTTTTGTAAAATAGACATTTGGAAACCTAAAAAATATATAATACTACAGGTAATAAGATTTTAGCTATTCTTCCTGATAATCGATCCATATAACCTAGAATCTCAAGACCCAGCTTAAAAATATTTCCATGTCTCTCCCGAGTTCCCCAATTAAATTTGTGACAAATCGGTCCAGGTGTTTCTGAGTTATAATCGAAAAAAACAAACAGAGCTAGATTACACCTTTATAATATAGATGTATATTTTCAGTTCTAAAGCAGAATTCATCAGATTTTTGTCAAATACCCTGTCAAATCTAATTCTAAAAAAAATCTCTCAAATTTTTATATCTGAGGCTACAGAAAGTGAGGCCCAACCGCGCCAAAAAGTCAAGGAATGCCCATAATGTTCAGAGCTGTAGAGATCTCTGTGAGACAGAATGATCAGTAAAATTTTAGCAGGAAAGAAATTCAAGAAATAAGGGATGACACACGTTCTCGATTCTCCCATACTGTCAGGGATAAATATATTCTCCCATATATATTTCTTTTATGAAAATATTAGTCTATTTTCAGTTCAATTATAAAGACAGTTATGAAAAAGTAAAAACAATTGAACATGTAGAGAATATTCAGCCCAACATTTACGACGAAGTCTTGAAAGCTTTTAACCCATATTTAAATTCTGTAAACATAGCTTTCGTGAAATTTAAAGGATTTCTCAAATCCCCCGCGAAATATTAGGCTCCCCAGCTACGGAAACTTTTAAACAAAAATTTCAAATATTTTTAAAAATTTAGAAATTCGTTCCCAGATTCCAAATTCAACTCATTCTCAAAAATCTTATTCAAAATAAACTCTTTTTTCTTGAGTTGCTTTATCTTTGCTAGTCTGTCTGTATAACCATTAAAAGGTAAAAAAACTGTTGTTTCACTTTTTTGTGGCAAATTTAACATGACCCAAATGAAAATTTAATGACGATCAAAATTAAAATAATTTCTCCTAGAAAAAAAATTGACGTTCAATATTTTTGAAAAAATCAGCGAAAATTTTTGTTTATTGGAAAAAATGCCGACTTGAAAAACATCTGTTCAAAGTTAAAATGTTTGCTAAAAAAGAGACACTGAGTGCCCTTAAAAGCAAAGTTTTTTATACTGTGTACCCCCCCTAAAAAAACTACGGACTTGATTACTTTCAAAGTTGTCTGTAAGTTCCTTCGCGTGCATAATTCACTAAGAAATAAATTCACAAATAATACTTATAATCAATTAGAGAAGTTACAGCTGAACATTTTATCTTGTAATAAGTGTAATTTACTTTGGCTTAACGTGCAAGGTGGAATTTGGAAGCATTACAAATTTATAAATCCTCTGCTGTTTTCCACGTAAAGGATTTCTAAACTGTTCAACAAAGTGTTGTTTCAAAACAAACAAGGTTTAAAGTTAAAATGAGATGTACTTTGTGTGCGTGGACCGGTCGCTTGACTTCAAAGCATATTTCAGGTTGAAACTACATTCCCGGTCAGAACACAAATAAATCCTATTTTCCTCCAAGCAAATTTTATCAAGGACTTTGACTGAAAAATCCCCGAAAACTTGTTAAGTAGGCGGCGCAGTTTCCCCCGTTTCCGCTGACAAAGGACCAATTAGAGACGGACTGACATGTTGTCAACCAATAGGAGACAAGCTAAAGTATCAGCTAGGACACATGTGAACATGTTGGCGGAAAACACCTAATATGATTTTAGTATTTAGAAATACGTGATTGTGAAAACATTTGTAGTAGTACTACTTGCTCGTAATAATGTTGCTATACAAATCTCAATTTTGACATTTATGGTTGTAATTTTGCATCTTTTTAGAAATATAACGGTAAAATTAATACTTATGACAATTGGTTAGATGGGGTAGCAAAGCATTTCGGACAATAACTTCCAGTTTTTTATATGCAATACATGGTGAAATTAAATTTCATATTGATAATTAAATTTAAAGTACTATACTTCGCGTCAGTCAATAGCACTAAACACTTTTTCAGTTTCTTCATTATGTTAATATTTTCCACAAATCGAAAAATTGCAATTTTTAAATAGTTACTCTGAACGGAAAATGTTTTTTTTTAAATGGAAAATGTGTTAAATTTTGACAATTCCTTCTCAGTCTCTGCCGCATAAGTGACCTTAAAAGAGGAGCCCCTAGTTGGAAAAATGATTTTTTTTCGAAAAACAAGGTTATTTAAATCATTTATAACCGAAAAAAGGTTTAAAGGGTACCATTGTGAATTGGACATGTTCCTCTTCAAATGCAGGGTATCTAGAAATTACGGCGACAGACCCTTTAAATATGAAACGCAAAATTTTTCAAATCTGTTCTGTTCATAAATCCCGCACCCCTGACCCTCTAGTAAAATTAAATTAAACCTAAAGTCCGTCCGCATCAACCTTGTTGCACCGGCTAGTCCTATTTAGTGTCTGCTTTTTTTACCCAATGTCCCGGCGATACAGTACAAACTGGGACCGGAAAGGTTGACCCGGCTCGGAAATTCAAATGTACTACGGCTGCCCGATACAATTTTCTATTTCTTTCTACAATTTTCTATATAAAAATTTTATAATAATAAATTAATTGTTGAAAATTATGGGTTTCTTCAAGATAAGAAATGTGCTGTATATCTGATGAACAGTGAATGAGTACACGAATATTGGATGAATAATGCTGATGAAGGATGGAGGATGAGGATGAAAATATTCCTCATATTCTAGCACCGGGACACTCACCTGGATGTTTAATCTGGGCTTGCAGGTCAACTTGGTATAATACAGTATCAACCAGAAAACAATGGAACAGTGTATTTAATGTTGTTACAAAGCACATAGTTTACTAGAGCTGAAAACTTTAGAATGATGGATATCAAGATTAATGCTTAAACACCTGATTTTACTAAACCCGAAATTATTTTTATACGCATTGGATATCCAAGAAAGAAGTATAAAATTCAACCGATTAACGAATCATGCTGAGATGTACTTTTTAACTTTTGAAATTCAGATTAAGCGATAAGGATTAAGGATATCTTATTCTAAAGTTTTAAGCTAAGATCATTTAATTGCATGTCAACCTTTATTATTGTATTGCATGTCAACCTTTATCATTATTATTATTGCATGTTAACCTTTATTATTGTATTGCATGTCAACCTTTATTATTGTAATTATTACATGTCAACCTTTATTATTATTATTATTGCATTTCAACCCTTATTATTGTATTGCATGACAACCTTTATTATTATTATTATTGCATGTCAACCTTTATTATTATAATTATTGCATGTCAACCTTTATTATTATTATTATTATTATTGCATTTTAACCTTCATTACTGTATTGCATGTCAACCTTTATTATTGTTATTATTGCATTTTAACCTTTATTATAGTATTGCATGTCAACCTTTATTATTATTATGATTGCATTTCAACCTTTATTATTGTATTGCATGTCAACCTTTATTATTATTATTATTGCATTTTAACCTTTATTATAGTATTGCATGTCAACCTTTATTATTATTATTATTATTGCATTTTAACCTTTAATATAGTATTGCATGTCAACCTTTATTATTAATATTATTGCATTTTAACCTTTACTATTGTATTGCATGTATTGCAGGGCTGCTTTTATCTTTGTATTGCTGGACAACTTCTTATTATTGTATTCCACAGCTGGAAGCTCTGTTGTTAGATACTCTTGATCTCGTTTGCTTAAACCCGATATCCACTGTTGACACTTTTCCTTTTCTGCTTAATCCTCTCTTTTTATTATACCTTCTGAATTCGAGACCCATAAGGGTTTTCTCATTGATTGTGCGCACCCGGCTTATAATTATCTGTTCTGTTTCTGTAAACGACATTCTGAATTCAGTTGAATTTAAGACACTTTCCTGGATATCCTGGGTGGCAAATAAAATATGTTGCAACAATATTGTTCAGAACTTGAATAATAAACGTTGCAACTTCAATGTTTGCAACTATACAATATTAAGGGCTTGTAAAAGAGGAACAGTAAGAATAGACAGAAGGCATGCTGCAACTATGAGGGAGAGAAAGCGTTTAAGAAAGGTAAATCCATTATTTCAATTTTCTTTTTTGTTTAAGATCTTGGAAATTACATGACTTTAAATAATTATTGTTTTCCATGACTGAAAAAAATCTACCTGAAAATTAAAAAATCTAGAAAGCATTTTGCTTTCAGAACTCTCATCTTTGTTTATTCTTCAATTTTTAATAACAAAAAGTACGATTTTGTTGCTTACACATTTTTGATTCGCCTGAATTATTCTCCAGGTAAATGAAGCATTTGAGATTTTACGTCAGCATACTTCAAATTCTCCAAATCAAAGATTGCCGAAGGTAAGAAAGGTCACTAGTTAGTTTAAAGTTAAGGCCCAAATTATTGTTTTATTTGATCAGATTTTAGCCTTGAAACATATTAAAAGATTCTTAAGTTTTATTTTTTTAAACATTTACAAGTTTCGTAAATAATAAATTATGCGTCACAAGATTTACGTTTAATTTACACAATTTATTGGTTCTTACTTAAAAATTTCTTTAAAGATCATTTTTTTATTTTGACAGATCCTACTTTTTATTTAGTCCAAAATAATTTGGAAAGGTGTAAATTTTTCATGTTTATATTTTGTAAGGAAATCTTACTTAATGAGAATTTTCCAATATATTTTCGGAATAAATTTAATAAATATAAAAGAAGCTTTCTGGGCAAAATGCTGTTATTATTTTAACAGAAAATTTCGATAATTTAGGCCCTAAGGAAGCTACTTGATAACCTTAGTTGAGATTCCAATTTTGGTACCCCCACGGTGGAGGGGGGGGGGTATAAGAGTTAACAACCCGTTAAAATTATTTTCTGAAATACAAATGTTGTGAATAGTTAATGGCCCCACTGCTCTTTGTAGACTTAAATATTGTTTATTTTTAGGTTGAGATTTTAAGAAACGCAATCTGCTACATTGAATCTTTAGAGACCTTGCTTGCTTACACAACAAAGGAAAATATTTTAATACTTTCTAATATTTTCTTTTATGTTTTTTTATGAAATATAAATGATTATTTGAATCTATTCTTGTATCTCTTTATAGATCAGGGTTAGGTGGCTATTTGTTGGGGTTGTTTGATTTCCATACGCGTCATAAACGGTCATTACGATCAGGTACATTTTATATTTGACCTCACATGACCACAAGAAAATTTATGGCCAGTCATAACCAAAACTAATAAGATTTTCTTATCTCTATATCTTTGCAATCCAATTCATTAAACTATGATCAAAAAATATAGTTTTAAATACCGAAGATTTACACCATAGGGTTGCAAAGATATAGGGATGTATTTTTCATCATTTTTAGTTAACACAAAGCCTTTAAGATATAATGCTTATCTCCGCCTCCAAAATAAAATGAAATTTTACGTTAAATTTGTATTTTTGTAAAAATCCAATATTTGATGATTTTTTTTTTCTTTTAGGTTGTGTAAATCTCAGAACATAACAGTTAGAATTGTTTACTTCACGAACATGGGCAAAATTCTTAACAATTCCTTTTCTTAAAATAGTTTTTTTATAATTTTTCCCACAACACATTTTATTTTCCCCAACCAAAACTGACATTTTTTCCACACAAAACCTGACATTTTTCATTATGATAATTCTTTTCAATAAAAGCACATTAATCTATTGAAGACGCTAATCCATTCTTTCATTTGTTCCATTATTCCACGATCCTATTCATCTATCAACCTTTCTATATATATCTATCTACAAACCAAAATGATAGAAAATATGAATCGAGTTTTGCCATAAATATATCAAAGCTTTTTATGCTATCTTTTTCTATAGTTGGACACGTTGAAAAAATATCTCTTTATGGATAAGATAACCATAATTTTTTTCTCGCAAATGATTTAGTGCTTTAAGTAGTCTTGGTCAAAAGTCATAATTATTAAATCTTTAAAAAGTTATTCATTGACTAGACAACTCTGAAAGTTAGTCATCAAAGAAATTGAGTTTTTACCACAAACTTTTATTTTCTAATCACTAAATTTTTCGAACCCGATGCTGTAGACCTTGGATATTTCAAACTATGAATTATGTTAGATCAAATAAACATAGTTTGAAATAGCATAGGTAAACATCTTTAGTTAGGAGAAATATAGTGATTAGACTTTTTGAATTTGTGGCAAAAACTCAATTCCTTTTTAGACAGCACTTTAAAGTTTCACAAAGCCTTGGCCTTTCAGTTTACCTCACCAACTCACTTATACTGTTCTGTAGTCCCGGGGACATTTTAAAATTGCAAAGTGCTTGTTAGTTGTTCCTAGCTTAAGTCGAAAACAAGTAATTGGCAAAATACTGTTTGATTTTTGAACTAGAGTTTGCAGTGTGTTTGATTCCTAATTAAATAATTGTCTAGTTACACAATTGATTTCTGAAACCGAGTTTTTATAAAATTCTTAAATTTAGAATCTTTCATCAAATTCTCTTCAAATTTAAAAGTCATATTAAAATAACTTAATCGAAGGCAACAAAAAAGAAGATTTTTCAAATAGATGAACCTAGGTATCCAGGTATCCAGGTATCCAGGTATCCAGGTATCCAGGTATCCAGTTATCCAGGTATCCAGGTATCCAGGTATCCAGGTATCCAGGTATCCAGATATCCAGGTATCCAGGAATCCAGGTATCCAGGTATCGAGGTATCCAGGTATCCAGGTATACAGGTATACAGGTATACAGGTATCCAGGTATTCTGATGATACTTCTTAGATCAAGAGCAAATAAAGGATCTGTAAGTCTGATAAGTCTGACAAAGCTTTTTCAGAAAAATGTAAAAAGAAAATTTACAAAAACCAATACTTAATCGATTTTACATTCTTAGAACGTTGATTTCTCAATTTTCTGAAAACTAGTTTGAACAATTTGAACAATTCTAAATTTTTTTTAGATTTTATTTATATTTTATTCGATTTTTCAGGAAGATTTAGGGGAATCAGAGGCAGTTACTTCATTTTCCCACCAATCAAATTTTAAAATAGGTAATTTTAGAATATTTTAAAAATTGGTTTGAAAAAAGGTCAAAAGAAATCATAGAACAAATAAATTCCCAAAGAATATCCGAGGAAAAGTTTTCAAATTACATTTTTTCATAAATTTTATTGAATATAAAGCCAAAATCAAACAAAAAGGTGAAAATTTAATTTACAGCTCTTCAAATTTACTTTAAATATTAAAATAGAAATAAGTAAAGATATAAAATATGGATTATCCTTATCGTTAATTTGAAAAGTTTTAAAAATTATCTCAGTAAACGCAAATCAATTTGTTCAAATATGACGATTCATGGTTTTAATAAGGAGAATTAACACCATTCAAATAAAATTAATGTTCAATTGATTTATCCAGAAAGTGGACAGAAGGACTCTGGTTCTAGCCTAGATTGTCTCAGGAAACATTTTATTTTGGCAAAAAACGAAATTAAACTTAAGGAACTGTGTTTTTGCCTCAAACTCAAATAATCTTATCTCTATATCTTAGCAACCTGATGGTAAACCATACAGAATGCATAGTTTGAAATATTAAAGGTCTAAAACATCGGGTTACAAAGATAAAGAGATAAAAGATTAAAGTTTTTGGCAACTCATTTCCTTTTCAGGTTCAAGTTTTTACATTCACAAAAATATTAAGAATTGAACAGTTAAAATTTCAAACACATATTATGTGTTTTGGACATAGCGTTTGGGTTTTCTAAAATAAGGTCTTAATGTCTTAATTTCAAAGCGGAAGTTTTTTCAAAAAAGTTTTTCCACGTAAAAAATCTAGAAACAAAAACATAATTTTCTAAATTCACATTTATGAAAACAAAATCTGTTGTAACAATACAGGTTTCTTTCATGACATTTTAGTTCTTTGTCTTAAATAAAATTATGATTAAAATGTCCTTTTTACAATTTATGATTAAAATAGTTTTCTTTAGTTCTATTGTTGATCAGTTGCCTCTACAATACACCCAGGAATCTTAATTGATCTTAATAAAATTGATTTTTAACATTTCCGTTTTTTCAATTGATTGAAAATGTATGACAATTCGATTCAGAGTTTAGCTAAACAGAATGACCATAAATTAAAGCAGGAATTAGCGTTTTTAAGCCTCAATAATGTTTTAAATGGCTCGAAAGAGTTTTCTAATTTTAAAAGGGATCCTTTAAGTAACATTTGATCATTTAATGCGATCCTTTGGCGTAAAACTATGTCAAATGTTTGAAAACCTCTCTGTTTACTTTCAATAATTAATAAATTTTATTATTCTATTAAAATCTATATTGCAAAGAGAAAAAAATAGGATTATAAAATAAAATGATAAATACTTAAATAGATTAGTTTATTGTTTTTTTTTCAAACTTCTTCTCGAAGAGTCCTCTCCCTAATTTGATGCCATGCATGCTAAAAAAATCGCGAATTTCTGGTGTTTGCAACATGGGACCTGGAATGCTGTAACCTCTTTTCATAGGTTTCTCTTCATAGAGTTCTGGGTTAAGATTTTGGATTTTAGAAAGCCCAGAAGAAAAATTTAAGGGGGTTCAGATTTATGAAAATGATTTTTGTTTGGTTCTTAAACATTATTGGTGAGCTGAAGTTAACTGAGATATTTTCGAATATTCGTCACAGTTTTACACAAAATATAAGGTTCGGACGCCAAATACGTACTTAGCCGAACCCTTCTAAAATTGAAAAATATGTTCGAAAGCACATTTTCGAGACATTTAAAAAGATTAGATAGGCTGATCAACGCTAATCCCAGTTTTTTTATATCTCCCCCTCCCCTTTTTCTGTGGCGTTTTTTATCTCTGTTTTTATTTATCATTAACGTGTTTATATTGAGAGGGGTGAAAAAGAATGATGTAGGATTATATTGTATGGAGCTAGAAAGGGTTCATGTCTAAGTATATTGTGGGATTATGCCTAATCCTTACCATCTGTTTCTCCTTTATTTTCTCCTTGTATATTCATGTTCAACATATAACATATAGTCATTTAACACCTTTCCCCCCTTTTACTCAAATAGATTTCCTCTACTAGATATATATAGCTCCCTACCCTATATTCTCAACTCTTAGCCTTCTCCCCTATATTCTCAACTCCTAGCCTCATCCTGTATTCTCAACTCATAGCCCCCTCCTGTATTCTCAACTCCTAGCCTCCTCTTGTATTCTCAACTCATAGCCCCCTCCTGTATTCTCAACTCCTCGCCTCTCCTGTATTCTCAACTCATAGTCCCCTTCCCTATCTTNTGTATTCTCAACTCCTACCCTCTACTGTATTCTCAACTCCTTGTCTTCTCCACTTATTCTCAACTCCCAAATGTCTGCTCAAAGCATATTCTTTTAGAAAATCGTTAGTTTTTGTCACTTTGTTTCGTATAAATACTGAAATCCGTTATTTCCTTAAAACAATACTTGATTTTCTACAGGAACATGCTATTTAATACAATATTTTTCGAGGAAGAATAAATATTTTATGAGAAGGGGGGGGGGTTACAGTACACTTTCTCTAAACTTTTCAGAAACGTAGTTGTATATTAAAATCTTTATTATGAATTTAAAAGTTCCCTTCCAGTCTTACTACTTCTCTCATTTAGTTCATTTTTCATCATAAACTTACAAGATTTCAAAACAAAATAAATCTATCTTAAACCCAGCACATGCTGCAGTGCTGCACAGGGCAAGGCTGGGATTATGAAAAGGGGAATGGACAACTGTTACCACCTTTTAATGGGGATAAGCAGCCCCCCCCCCTAAAAAAATTACTTTCTTCAAAACTGTTTTAAAATTTCTACTAAGATTGATCCTATATAGACTGACAGACATGACTCCTGCTGTTCCGATGACATAAATCAGTCAACTTTTCACCGAGAAGGATCACACACCATTTTAGATAGACAATCAAGAGTTATAGAATCAGCAAGAGCAAAAACAAATTTGGCGGATTTTTCCAACAGAGACAATTTTTCGGATACTGCTGATTATTCAAATACAGTTGGAAGTTCCAATATGACGGCTAGATACAATATACCTGAAAAATCCATTATGGCCCCTAGATACAATATGGCCGACAGATCCAATATGACTGCTAGACGAAACATGGCTGATGGATCCAACATGGCTGCTTTATCTCACACGGCGATGCCTACGGCTTTTCGAAATGAGGAACAGAGATTTATTAATACAGAGGGATCCAATTGTGACCTACTTCAGGATCAAATCAACCAGCATTCATGTTCAGAAAGATGGCGGATTAGCAGACCTCAAGAAAATATTGAACATCATGAAGTTGCCTCAACTTCATCCATTCGGTCATCTTACAGTTAACCCATTCCTAAGTTAACGGGACCTACTTGATTTCAAGTGACATGTCCGATTTTAATGGTACCCTAAAAGTTTTGTCAATAAAGAAAATTGCTAAAATTAGACACTTTTTTTAACTAGCAAAATGACAATATCTGATACATTATTGTTTCAGATTAAAGCTTAAATGGTGGCTTAAAGGATACTGTTGTGAATCGGACATGCCCCTCCACAAATGGAGGGTCCCTTTGAGTTAAGGGCTTGATCTGTATAATAATATAAGATGTAAAGTAACTGGTTTGCTATCTCTGTAGTGTATCTCTGGGTCCTTTAATTCTTGTTAATCTGACACTAACTGCTAATTTCTTCTCTTATAGTCCGCCTTTACAAGATGGAAGAGAATTGGGTGAGGAGGCGGCACTTTTACTTTATATCGATTTAGAAATTTTAGATAAAGATTATTGAATTTTTTCACTTTGAATTAGAACATTTTGTTGAAACCTTTTAAAAAAGAGAATTCGATCATAAAAAATAAACATGTAACTTGCAGCAGACTCCAGTTATGTATTTGCGACCTGATTGTTTAAACCTTATGTTTAAACATTGACAATCAGATTTAGCAAAACTCATAGTTTGAATTATGAGAAATCTACTCGTTGATTTTCCAATATTTCAGAATAAAGCTTTTAACTCGAAAATTCTTCAACTCAAAAATACAAATTTTAGGTTTGTAGATTGAAAAACAAAAAATCATGGGCTATTTAAAGAAAAATTTAACACCGACCAGCTTTACGACGTCCTGTACCCTAACCTATGCATTAGAAAAAAAGTTTGCAAAAAAAAATCTTTACATTATTATTTCTTAAAAGTCCAAAAATGTCAATATATGTGATTAGGGCAAAAATTCCAAAAATATTAGTGCTAGTGCAAAAAATGAACCTGTTAGAGTTAACTTTTAAAATTGAATTTGATATACCAAAATATTTTTGTAGAACATTGATTAATTAAGAAATTTGATACAGCAATTTCGAAAATATTCTTTCAAAATTTACAAATAAACCGGTGATTTAATCTATTTATTATNAAATTTATTAACTTGTTAAATACAAAAAATATTGTTTTTATTGTAAAAAAATGTAAGATACTATTATGAAACAAGTGTATAAATAAATTAAAATGTTAGTTTTAAACCGTTGTTTACTTGTTAAAGAGACTGTAGGCGTAACTTCAAGTGACCCTTTATTACTAGAGTGGTGTGTTCGATTCACAACAGTATCCTTTAAACCTTTTACTGATCAATGGTGTCAGACTTATCCTTTTTAATCTACCAAAAAAAAACAATTTCTGTTGAGAACACTTTATGAGCGAGCTGTTTTAAAATTAAGAATTTTTTCTGGAGTGTTTGTTTAGGCTTAGGACTATCAACCCTGGTTCATCAAGGACTTCATCTCCTTGATTGATTGATAGTCATACTTTCTCCTTATAGAAGTCGTAGAAAAATATCAATTCAAATTCGGAGTTTTGTAAACCGTTTGGACGAAGAATATTTGGTATTTTCGAGGTATATATTTAACATTGTTTGCTAGCTTAAACTCCCATGCAGACACTTTTAGAGAAATAAACACAACAGAGCTAGATTTTCTGGACTCGATAATCAGTAAAAGGTTTCAGTTTTGTATTGAAGGTTACTCGAAATTACGCTTGAAGTCCCTTACAGCTCTCATTTCGGCATTAAGAATATGTTAATTTAGATCGACTGTTTGATCAAAACTAAACGGTTATTCAACTTTTTTTGTTTTAAGATTTGAAAAATGACTCGATTCAGACTTCCGAAATCAGGGGTAAAATTTCCTTCTCTGGGACCAAAGTTTATTAATTAAAGAGAGGTCGCTGAAATACCTATACCACTGGTTCTAATCCTGAATCACCGATTCAAAGTTAAGGATTCTTGAGGATTTTAATCGGTAATTCAGGATTTGAAAATGTGTTCAGTGAACTCTCCAATATATAAAAATTTGGTCCCTGAAAAAAAATTGTGAGTTAGAAATTATTATTTGTTTTTGTTTTCAGAATTAAAATACTCTTATATGAAATATATGTACAATGTAACTGATTTAATAATTTGTACTGATCAAGAACTTGGAGATTATAGGTTTTAACAAAAGTCCTTTAATTGTTTGACTTAATTCTCAAGTCCTTTAATTTTATGGTCTTATTCTCAAGTCCTTCAATTTTTTGGATTATTTTCAAAACCTTTGTTTAATGGCTTAATTCTTAAGTCCTTTGTTTAATGGCTTTATTTTCAAGACCTTTGTTTACTGGCCTTAATCTCAAGTCTCATGTTTAATGGCTTTATTCTCAAGTCCTTTGTTGAATGGCTTTATTCTCAAAACTTTTGTTTAATGGCTTTATGCTCAAGACCTTTTGTTTAATGGCTTTATTCTCAAGTCCTTTGTTTCATGGCTTTATTTTCAAGTCCTTTGTTTAATTGCTTTATTCTAAAGGCATTTTATGCAATAACTTTATTCTAAAGTCCTTTTAATTAATTGCTACTTTATCAAACATTAATAAATCCTTTGGAAATGTTTTTTAAAGAAGACCTTTTGCGTTCTTTTACATGCAATAATCCTAAAACATTTTTTAAATTCCAGCAATAATCCAAAACATTTTTTTATTCCAAAACTTTTTTATACAAGATGAATAAATTTCAGTCCTTTTATACATAGGCTAAAATTTCAAGTCCTTTTTATATTTCAGCTATTTTATCCCTTGAATTTTAAGCAGCCTCTTTAGGGTAAACCTTTGCTTCTTATTGAAACATTTTAAGACAATTTCAAATTATTAAACAGCTTTAATAACAAGTTTCCTGGCTTTATTCTCAGTCCCTTGTTTAATAACTTTTTTCTCAGGTCCTTTCTTTTCTGGCTTTTATCTCAAGAATTTTTTTTATGGCTTTTTAATGGCTTTATTCTCAAGTCCTTTTTGTTTAAATGGCTTTATTCTCAAGTCCTTTGTTTAATGGCTTTATTCTCAAGTCCTTTGTTTAATGGTTTTATTCTAAAGTTGTTTGTTTTATCGCAAATTTCTGGACTGTTTTTTAATAGCTTTATTCTCAATTCCTTCGTTTAATGGCTTTATTCTCAAGTCCTTTGTTTAATGGCTTTATTCTTAAGTCCTTTAATTAAAAGGCTTTATTCTCAAGTCTTTTATTTAATGGCTTTATTCTCAAGTCCTTTGTTTAATGGCTTTTTTCTCAAGTCCTTTTTGTTTAATGGGTTTAATATCAAGTCCTTTGTTTAATGGCTTTACTCTCAAGTCCTTTGTTTAATGGCTTAAATCTCAAGACCGTTTAATGGCTTTATTCTCAAGTCCTTTGTTTAATGGCTTTATTCTCAAGTCCTTTTATTAATGGCTTTATTCTCAAGTCCTTTGTTTAATGGCTTAAATCTCAAGACCATTTAATGGCTTTATTCTCAAGTCCTTTGTTTAATGGCTTTATCCTCAAGGCCCATGTTTAATGGCTTTATTCTCAAGTCCTTTAATTTACAGGCTTTATTCTCAAGTCCTTTGTTAAATGGCTTTATCCTCTTGTCCTTTGTTTAATGGTTTTTTTCTCAAGTCCTTTGTTTAATGGCTTTATTCTCAAGTCCTTTGTTTAATGGCTTTATTCTCAAGTCCTTTAATTTACAGGCTTAATTCTCAAGTCCTTTGTTTAATGGCTTTATTCTCAAGTACTTTGTTTAATGGCTTTATTTTCAAGACCTTTGTTTAATGGCTTTATTCTCAAGTCCTTTGTTTAATGGCTTTATTCTAAAGATAAAATGCAATAACTTTATTCTAAAGTTCTTTAAATTAATTTCTACTTTATCAAATACTAATAAATCCTTTGGAAATATTTTTTTAAAGAAAAGATCATAAAATGTTTCAATTAATTTTTACCAATTGAACATTTTTATTGTTAGTCGTGGGGAACCTATAAAAATGTTTAAAAAATTAAATCAGATAAAACATATTATTAATATTGGAGCTACTGCACTTCCCACTATGGCCCGTCTTATGATAGAATATCAATAACATGTTTTATTAAAACCCTAAAAAGGCTAAAATGGGTGAGGCTTTTCTTTTGTTTCTAATATCTTAATTCTCACTTATTATCAGACGACCTTTTGTGTTCTTTTACATGCAATAATCCTAAAACATTTTTTAAATTCCAGCAATAAACCAAAACTTTTTTTACAAGATAAATAAATTTCAGTCCTTTTATACATAGGCTAAAATTTCCAGTCCTTATTAAATTTCGGCTATTTTATCCATTGAATTTTAAGCAGCCTCTTTAGGGTAAACAATTGCTTCTTTTTGAAACATTTTAAGTCAATTTCAAATTGTAAAATAGCCAGAATAAAAAGTCCTTTAGTTTCCATGCTTTATTCTCAAGTCCTTTAGTATCCTGGCTTTATTCTCAGTCTCTTGTTTAATGGCTTTATTCTCAAGTCCTTTTTTTAATGGCTTTATTCTCAAGTCCTTTAATTTACAGGCTTTATTCTCAAGTCCTTTGTTTAATGGCTTTTTTCTCAAGTCCTTTAATTTACAGGCTTTATTCTCAAGTCCTTTGTTTAATGGCTTTATTCTCAAGTCCTTTGTTTAATGGCTTTATTCTCAAGTCCTTTAATTTACAGGCTTTATTCTCAAGTCCTTTGTTTAATGGCTTTATTTTCAAGTCCTTTGTTTAATGGCTTTATTCTCAAGTCCTTTAATTTACAGGCTTAATTCTCAAGTCCTTTGTTTAATGGCTTTATTCTCAAGTCCTTTTTTTCAAGGATTTATTTTCAAGACCTTTGTCTAATGGCTTTATTCTCAAGTCGTTTGTTTAATGGCTTAATTCTCAAGTCCTTTGTTAAATGGCTTAATTCTCAAGTCCTTTGTTTTATGGCTTTTTTCTCAAGTACTTTGTTAAATGGCTTAATTCTCAAGTACTTTGTTTAATGGCTTTATTCTCAAGTCCTTTGTTTAATGGCTTTATTTTCAAGACCTTTGTTTAATGGCTTTATTCTTCAAGTCCTTTGTTTAATGGCTTTATTCTAAAGATAAAATGCAATAACTTTATTCTAAAGTTCTTTAAATTAATTTCTACTTTATCAAATACTAATAAATCCTTTGGAAATATTTTTTTAAAGAAAAGATCATAAAATGTTTTAATTAATTTTTACCAATTGAACATTTTTATTGTTAGTCGTGGGGAACCTATAAAAATGTTTAAAAAATTAAATCAGATAAAACATATTATTAATATTGGAGCTACTGCACTTCCCACTATGGCCCGTCTTATGATAGAATATCAATAACATGTTTTATTAAAACCCTAAAAAGGCTAAAATGGGTGAGGCTTTTCTTTTGTTTCTAATATCTTAATTCTCACTTATTATCAGACGACCTTTTGTGTTCTTTTACATGCAATAATCCTAAAACATTTTTTTAAATTCCAGCAATGATCCAAAACTTTTTTTTCAAGATAAATAAATTTCAGTCATTTATACATAGGTTAAAATTTTAAGTCCTTTTTATATTTCGGCTATTTTATTCATTGAATTTTAAGCAGCCTCTTTAGGGTAAACAATTGCTTCTTATTGAAACATTTTAAGTCAATTTCAAATTGTTAAACAGCTTGAATAACAAGTCCTTTAGTTTCCATGCTTTATTCTTAAGTCCTTTGTTTAATGGCTTTATTCTCAAGTCCTTTGATTTACAGGCTTAATTCTCAAGTCCTTTGTTTAATGGCTTTATTCTCAAGACCTTTGTTTAATGGCTTTATTCTCAAGTACTTTGTTTAATGGCTTTATTTTCAAGACCTTTGTTTAATGGCTTTATTCTCAAGTCCTTTGTTTAATGGCTTTATTCTAAAGATAAAATGCAATAACTTTATTCTAAAGTCCTTTAAATTAATTGCTACTTTATCAAATACTAATAAATCCTTTGGAAATGTTTTTTTAAAGAAAAGATCATAAAATGTTTCAATTAATTTTTACCAATTGAACATTTTTATTGTTAGTCGTGGGGAACCT